ACTGATCTTCGCTATCTTCTTGTTGATTGTCGTCCTGCAGAGCAATATAATGCTGGTCACTTACCAACTGCTTTTTTCCTGGACTCATCTTTGATTATGTCTGAACCCCTAAAATTTCAAAATGCCGTTAAGGTTAGTTTTACTAAGTGTGATTACTGTTGAATTAAAAAAGTGAGTATTTAACTACATTTAACAATCGCAGTGTAATTATCGTTATATCCTATTTTCACCTCTTATTCTTAGTACTAAGGTTAATTTTGAATGGTTTGTTATTTGGGCTGTTAGTCTATTAGGAATAAGTATTTAAAAAAGTTAAGCGTTAACTGAAAATAGATCATAGTGACTAACTGGCATCTAGCTTTTATCTTAAATCTTGAAAATCTTGTTCTGGCTTTATTCATTCTTCCTATTTATATACTTCTTTTCGACATTTGTTTCTTTTTCATTGTGATAGTAAGAATTACAACAGCTCAGGTTTTTTTGTTCATTATTTTTAGTACCTCAAACTTCCAGTTAGTCGCATTAAATGATTTAATTATCATGATAATTTTAGAAAGTAATTTCTAATTCTCCATTAAATCTAATTCGAATAGAATAAAACAAATAACTGAGCCAGAATGCCTTTTTATTTCTATGAGTTCTTCTTAGATGCTTATAATTTTAATCCTCCTATCCAGAAGGGAGGATAATAAGACATTACCTAAACACGTTTACTCAAGTTTTAAATCTTCAATTTTATTTGCTCTTAAATTTATCGTTCGAGCACAGATCAGACGTTGGGTGCTGGTATTTTTGCAATGTATTTGGCATAAAATTTTTCGTTTAACGACGGAGGGAAATGATTTCCTTGGAAATATTCCAAATTATACGGCTGTAGGTCCTATGAGATTGTGTTGCTGCAGTTCTATAAGGCGAAAATATTTAGAACTTTCAAGATATGGCCAAAACACTGTTATGGAGCAGAGTTCTATGTCATTTAATTCAGTCATGTAATTTTGTCCTTGTATGTAACTTAAGCTAGGTCTTTTATTATGTTTAGAATTAGTTTTATAATTCCGTTTCTTCAGTACCATGAAAATGAAGTCGATATTAACTTTTTGTGTGTTAGGAGAGAAAAACTACCAAATGTTTGATGGCCATATCCATTTAAATATGGAACTTTCCGGAGTGTCATGACATTTTGTCCAATAAACGTATTTTATTGTTACAACTAACCGTATAGTCTTCAGTATTCACTTGTCTTTTGACCACTGTACCAGTTATAACAGTTAATGTTAATCTTTAATCTGTGGGTGGAATTTATGGTATTTCAACCAAGCGTTGCTGTAAAAATGCAAATAAATTATGTTACCTCAATCGTCACTCAATTTTCCCTAGTTGTGCATCTACTAAATGTAGTGGTATGTTCTTCCACAGTTTCGAGATGGTCATTCAAAGCTAATGACAGGATGAGTATAACTAGCTGGGTCTACATAAGCTTTGGCTGGAGCGAATGTAATATATTGCTCATTTCGACCCGTCCCACACTTTAACCTATAATTTTAACTTTGAAGTTAAAGTTAGCCTAAACCTTGATAATTAAACGAAAATATGATGTTTATGTGCGAGATCAGTGCCTGTTCATGTGTGCTATCTAGGTTATTGTATGCTATCAGAGTGAAGTATACAGTGATAAGAACCTAGTGTCCAAAAATCTTTAATGATATGGTTCAAAGAAGATCACCATGTTAATACATGTACGATTTATTTTTATTCTTGGATATTTTACTATTTTGTACTTATTATTCCCCATTAAGTTGCAATAATTTGCTAGTTAATTGCTTTCTTTTAAAATTACTCTTAATGATCTTTTTATATCGGTAAGAAATGTGACAATTTGAATTAACAAATTATTTCGTGAAGTTCTTCGTTAATTGTGTTTTGTTGTCGAATTTTAAAGCACATGTAAGATACAGAGAACGTTCGAATTTTAGCTGTATTGAATCCATTACTGAAATGTCGGTTTACACTACGTTATTATGGAAATATTGAGATTAGGGTAAATTCGATTGGACTTCTTCAAACTATCAAAACATTTTCAATAGTTACAGAAACACTGTACAAAGCTAAAGGGAATTTTACCACAAACAATCTTTCTTATTTTCATAAAACATTTAAATCAAGTCATGTTGACTAGCTCCAATTGTTTTTAAAGTAAACCGTGAAAATTCTGTAATTCTACTTCTTGAAAAAAAGAACATATTAAATCGCAAACAACATTCCCCGGAATTAACATGAATTTTTATTTTTGTTTGTAATAAATGGTAATGCTGATTACCCCAAGTGTTAAATAAATCAAAAATAAGTTTATATTCTTTCTTCATAAATTGATTATACTGATAGAACCCTAGCATTGACTGTTATCACACTGCATATTTTTACATTTTCTAAACAGTTTTTATTATCAACTCAAGAACGGTCACTTGCTGCTGGTTCATATGCTGTTGGAAAGCATATCACATTTTTAAGTACTGGGAGAAAAGACGAAGATCAACTAGCTAATATGGTTGTAGCTGAGTTTCTCCGGCAAAACACACCATATGTCAGTTTGATTGAAGGTGGTTATACAACTTTACATGAAGTCTTAGGTACTTATGAAGTTGGTAGGAGTTTAATTGGTCATGAACCTACAATATGTTTAGGATGTATTGGAGGAAAAAACTTTGTACCTTTATCAACTTCTGATAGTAAAATGGAGTCATCATGTTTAATAAATGAAAAAGCAAAAGTACAACCAGTTAACTCTTCGAGTGTTGGTTTATTCTCTAAATTCTCAAATGCAATATTTAATACTGGCCGTAGTTTGGATCAAGTACCAAAACTTTTGAAACTTTCAAGTGTAAGTTCAGTGCCAACAACAACAATCAAAACTGATACAACCCCTACATACCAACCTGTTCAGAATAAAGAAACAAAAAAACCCGTTGCTTACAGAAATACATCATCTGTATTCAGTATTGATGATGACTATGACGAAGATGATCTATGTGATGATGAAGCTGAGACTATTACAAACAGTCCCAATCATACAGAGAAAGAAGCAAGAAATGCGACGTTATCTGAACAGTCAACTTGGTTAAAACGTTTTGTTAAAGCATCAACACATGTTGCACCTGACATGGATGGGGATTTCCCCCTCGAATTGATGGTATGGACAGCTGTGAAGTTGGCGATTTAATTGATACTACCCGGTGGTCTAGACGGCCAGAAGTAAGAGGTGTATTTAGTACCCGATTTCTAAGGCCTAATGGACAATTAGGCGATAGTGGTTTACTTGTTTTAGCAGAACGTCATTTAATTTTGTTGCGTCATCCAACTCCTCGACTTCCTAACCAACTCATTAACTCTCTTAGTTCTACTTTACAGTCTGTTTTTAACAAAAAGAATCCAAAATCATCTGAATATTCGGCTATTCAAAAACCAACTACAGATCTCCCGAAATATGCTGTTGTTTATCGATCAATTCCCTTATCTATGGTAGTGAAAATCACGTCAAATCGTCGTTTCCCGGAATGCATTACATTTCACTATTGTCCACATGACGAAGGCGATATGCTAAAACTAAACGATCAGTCATTATTTAGTATGAAAGATCGATTATATATCAATAAAGCAGGCGAAGCAGTGAAAATGGTAAAAACTGCCATCTTTACTACTGTTGCATCATTGGAAACGTAGTATTACTCATATTGCGGTCTTGTTTTATTATTTTCTTTGTACACTATGTGTTTTGCACTGATGATTTTATTTATATTTATTTTTTCTTATGTCATCTGTCAATCAGGAAAGTTGGATTTTGAAAGTAAATTAAAGTTTTTGTTTTTCGTTCATTTCTTCTAATTTGAACAATAACTTTTTGTTTTGATTATATAAAACTGTGATGTTTAGGTGAAAAATAGTATCTAGATAAAATTTTTAGCACTATTCTTTCAATCACCAATGCGCTTTCTCGTCATATCACTGTAATTATAGTTAACCTTATTCACTCTCTTACCTTCAAGGTTAAAGTCTCATTTTGTTCGTATTGAAGTGTTTTTCTTATTTGGGATTATCAAAGGAGCTGTGCATTAATTTTTTTCGTTTAATTTAACTAATTTTTACAAAACAGATTGTCAACCAGATGAATCTCTCTCTCTCCATATATCATGTTCTGAATTCCTGAACATATGTGGTGAGCCTGTCAGTGCCGCAAAAGTCACACCATAGAGATAAACTGGGGGAGTTTCAATGCAATCATCCGTCTAAATCAAAAAAGGAAGGAAAAATTGAAGCGAGTATATATGGGTGATGGTGCCTGTTCTAGGGGAAGTTTCGATAGTTTGCCAGTCCACCAAATATTTTCATCGACATGTTCACTTAATATCAGTCAAAAGTGCGCCAGAGATCTCAGGCACTCAACTGTTAGCAAACTCTTCTGCGGTTTTAAAGATACTAAAAATGCACTCATCAGAAAAACTTGTATTGGATCAATCGTTCTCACTTTGGGATTCTCAATAGCTTCCGTAGCATCAACAAGCTGATTCGCCAGTGTACACACTCTTTAGAAACACTAAATCAGTTAAAAGTGGCGAGAGTGAATATTGGAGATGATGACGAACAATGTTTAATAAAAATGATGTCATTTGCAATGCAACTTCACGGTTTCCTATCTAACTTCTAATGAAGGGCGCTCATTTCGCACTAAAGAAACTTATTTTTATGTCTTAGTTGTGTTATGTTCAAGTTGAGTAATCCTCATTACTATACGAATTTAAGTTGTTTGCAAGATGCGTTAGACTTCATCTGACGAAAGGTAGTGTGAAATCGAATACTAGACAACTGTCTTCATGTTCGCCTAGTTCAAATATGTCACATTTGTGCGAGCATATCAAATTTCGTCGGCTAACTCGTTATATCGTATGCACTACGCTTCAAATCTGCTTAATATGTATGAAGTGTTGCTAGAAATAATGTTACAGTCGTATATGAAGTATTGTATATTACATTTATATCTTAGGTAAGGGAAAGAGACAAAAAAGGCAAAGTTGTTCAACAAATTTCAGAAATATATAAAAACGAATAATTCCACAGATAAGATTTAATCAAAAGACAAATGCCCCATTTCCATTTGACGGTTCCATCATCTTAGTAAATGGTTTCTGACTATCTTCACGAACTCGTAAATGTGTTCTAAGTAGGATGTGCTCCAAAACACCAGTTCTGATGTCCATCGTAGTAATCTCTGACTTAAGACGCTGAATAGCTTGTTTAATACGCACTACAGACGAACTGTCTGTCATACTCAAGCCTTTTTCGTCCATCTCTGTTTTGACACGTTCCAGTTCTTCACTGATTTCAGATAAAGTACGACTTCGAGTAGTGATCCCGCCACTTGCTTCTCTATACTTGGCATTTATATCATTTAATTTATCCTATAATAAAAATACAAGTATAAAAAGATCATACATGTAGCAGTATTAATAATTTGTGAAATACTGTCTTTGAGTATACACATAAAACACTTGTTTGTAGTACTCACGAAATAAGTTATCTTTAGAATAGTACTTTTCACAATATTAATTGTATGCATATTCCAAGTATTCATTATTAGCCAACAGTATTTACATCTCTCTTTTTAGAACATTCAGTAATTTTTGTCATGATTTTCATGAGCTTCTAATGATATCACTATTTTAACGTTTCTAATTGGTATCGTATTGTAGTAAACTCATTACGTTTTTTAATTCCTATATGCTGTAATCTAGACAATTAGTTCACTGTAAAATTATGTTTGGATCTGATTGAAAGCATGTCTACACCTCAATCTTTGTCTATCCTCGTTGGTTGTAATCACAGATAACCGATAACTTTACCTACATATTGATTAGCACAAAATACATAGACATGCTCCGACTTTTCACTTACTTCCCAGTGTGCTTGCCGCTTTCGTGTTTGTAGATTTTACTAATTAATAACAATACACTCACAACAACTGGTGTTTTGGCTGTTGAATATTCTCGAGTAAATTAATAGTGCTGTCAGGATAACTGGTCTGCTAAAATACACAGTTAACAGGATGTATTTCGAAGTCAAATTGGGAGGAATCGACCTCTACAGCATACTATACATTTGAGTTAAAAGTTTACTTACAGGAAATTTCGATTAGCGTACATCTCATACTCACATTCTTCGAAATAATTTATAACACTGAAGTTCCGTTAGCTATAATACAGTTATTGGAATCGTATGCACTAAACTCCAGCATATATACGTCGAAGTTTGCATTGGTTTACTATTAGTTTGTGACCAGTTAGCGGAAAAATATCTTTCCGAAATGTAAATTACAGGGTTCAGTACGTATTTTCATAGTCAGCCGTTTTAGGTGACAAGGTTCCAGGACTGATTAAAAAAATCAACTGGTTGTTTGACTAGGAGCTCTGTTCCGGTTGAACAACTCAAGGCAATATGAAAAGATCTTAGGAGCCTACCTGTACAGTTCTATATTGCGCCAACAGAGGCTCCACTTGATTATTCATATACTTCTCTCGGTTATTTATTTTATCGACATCTGAATTCAGGTCATCGTGTAATCTGATTAATTGGGATTTAGCATCCTGAAAGGTAGTTTCGATTTCCATTATCAGCTGCTTCATTTGATCCAGATGAGTTCTCCAGTCTTTGACATCACTGCGAATATTGACACGTAGTTGTGGTAATATTCGTTCAACTTCAAGTTTCCAATCTGCTGGGTCTGTAGAGCATTCTAAGATTGCACGATTATTCGGTCTTTTCTCATCTATTTTGCCTGCAGGTTTAAGTTCTGTCTGTTTTTCAGTCAAATCTGTTTTATGACTTTGGTTAGGTTTTAGATTAATTCCTATAATTAATAATGAATAGTCTTTTAAAGATAACAGATACAATCAACTGATGAGTTGTTACATAACGGAATCTGATTTACCCAGTCTTTATTGTGATCTCAGTACGTGAACTTTATTTGGAGTCCAGTGATGTATCTGTCAGGAGATGCTTTACTCCATAGTTCACAGGTTTTAAAAAATATGATTCCATATGAGTACAGTTACATTTTCACTGACAAATTAACTTGTACATAACTATACCCCATCACGATTATAATTTCGGTCACAAGTCGATTGATTTTATCCTGAGATCGTCAAGATAAATCTTTGAGAAACGTCTACATAGAAATGTTTATAAATCAAAAATCATGTGGCCTGAATAGTTTATTTCTTATTTTATTGATTTGGATTTCGTATATTATCACTGAAATGTTAATTCATGTTAATGAAGAAAAGTATGGATATACGATTTGTAAAAAAATGTGGTGTAGTCAATGCATACTTTTGTTTAAGAAAAATGGAAGTTAGGAAAGTTCTCAACATTATGAAACCCAGATTACGTGAAATGCGGTAATAGTTCCTACAATATTGTTTTGCTAAATTTCCGACTACACAGTCTTAGTTTGGCCATTACTAAATAAAAACTCTTAATTTTAAAATGAAGAAACAGTAATTTACCTTTTAACTCTATCACCTCTTCATCATCGTCATCATCACTTTGTTCTTCACAATTCCCTAGCCTGTCGCAGTCTGACAGACTATATTTGAATCGACTACCGATTGAAGATCCGACCCACTCTTCTGTTTCTTCGTCAGTTTGCGATGATTCACCGTCTTGAACACCAGACTCTTCTACTTCATCTGGATATTCAGGTGGTAGGAGTATAATGTTTTGAACCTGCAGGCTTGCGTCAGCCAACATGTTAAGAACATTAATGCAATATTCACCACATCCACTTTTCAGTTTTAAAGGTGGGAACTCAACAACATATCCTAGAGTTCTGACAGCATCTAAAATAGTTGATATTGTTGCATTCGGATCGTCGTATTCTTGCGGTTGGTCAATTTTACAGTTTGCCTGTGAAATCAGCCACGCAGCTAGGGTAGTGAAACAATGAAATTGTTCACCAGGATTAGTAGGAATTGCAAAATAATGTCTTGTGATAGGTTTTTGATGTCGTCGCCTACCAATGACTTATTATTCTTAGATGTGATTACTTGCAAAATTTTTTCTCATAATTCAGTAGTTTGAGTTTTTCACTCAGACTTTCCATTTGTGCAAAAACTGCATATTGATACTTTTGTTCTTCACTATGTTCATTGCTTTTAGCTTTTTCTCGTGACATCTATGGTGGAAAAAAACAACTAGTTTATTCAATTATTGAGTTTGATATATCAAATTAAGTATAAAAATTACGTTAGTTAGATAATTACAGAACCTTATTATCCCCGTAAAACTAGGATAATTTACTAAAATTGTGACTAACAGCTAACTTGGAATCAAGTAAATAAGATCTTACTAGGGACACTATACTCACGATAATGGTTGTAGGTAAAAGCACATTAACTCATTGTTGAAAAGTTGAAAATTAGATAGTTACATAAATGTCAATAGTGATAATCATGTGCATAATTAAATAAATTAGGGATTGAGAAATGTATGACGATTTATTTTCTAATATTTGATAACTAAGGGTTTATCTGATGCCGAATAAGGTTTGTACTTATCAAAAATAGTCTAAAACAAGTAAATTCTACAGATTTGTAGTTTTCACCGTGTGAAAGGTACTCATTTTTAAACCAGGAATAGTAAGCTAAAACATTTTTGGAAAACTCAGGTGACTAGCATATTTTGAAAACCATCTAGTAGAGACCAATACATTCACCGTTATATTTTGGTTCCAATCTGACAGAAACAGTTTTCGGTTAGGTATCTAATAAAAGAAGGGTCCATGAATGCAAATGACTTTATCAACGAGAAGTATTGAGTTTATATTATTGTGAAACAATGTGGTCAAATCTGAGAAAAATATGCATTGGCTGTGATTAAATTAGGTATTTTATGTATCCATATTAAGATTATTTATTCATAGTTAAATATGGCTCAAAAAATGGGAGTAAAAGAATTCCACAAGCTTAATTAATTATCGAGCATGAATTAAATGATATGATTATTTTCTAAACCTTATTTTAAATGTCATATTTTGCATAATTGTTATTTCATTCCATCAATATCTACTGATTTTAATAATACGTTTTAATTCCACAACACTCATTCCATGTTTTAATACCAATCAGCAATTTATAAATTCCAAAGTAAATCAATTTCTAATTTTCTGTGTCCGATTCATTTAACTAGACACATATTCATTGAGCTTTACGTCTTTGTGAGCATAAGTATCATCTTCAATAATTTGTTACTACCCTGAACGGCTCATTCTTATGCTTGGTTGTACGTGGTCCCATCTACCAGCGTAATTTGTAATTATGACCAACACTTTACATGGCATAAATGGTTATAAAGCAAATATATCCGTACCATGGCTTATAAAGTTTCAAGTACTATATATCAGGTATTTATCAAGTAATCCGAAAGTCAATGTCTGACATAAAATTACTTATACTCATCAACAAGCGCTAAGGCTATTCATGTCTTTGTAATATAGTAAAATGTTTATCAGTAGGTTGCTAGAGACAAGCATGGTTATATAATCTAAACTTTAATGTTGACTATGTTTGATCGGTTTAGTTCGTGATCTTAAAGTTATATCAGATAGCGTAGTCGATGAATCTAGGTATCTTACATCTTTTACACCAGACGTCAATGTAGAGCAGTTTTAAGATGCACTCTTACATTTGTTATGTGAAATATTTATGTTCAACACTTAAATATTTGTGAAATGTGCTCAGTGAACTGTGTCCCGGAAATGATGAATGTTTTTTAGATATCCTAAATTGAACGACAAATCTTCGGACAAGATGTGAATTCATAAGAGGCGTTTGAATAATTTGAGTGAACTCGAACAAAGAAACGTCATAGGTAAAAGTTTTCCATACCTAACATAGTATTTAGGAAACAAGTTCTTAGGCTGCCAAAATGGTATAAACTATAGATGTTTGATATTTTGTTCGGTTATCAGTCATAACTCACATATATTACAAGAGTCTAAGTACCTGATGGAATAGTACTTGTGTTTTGAGGCTGGTATACTTATATACAGTATAATCTAAATGTTACTCAATGGCAACAACTATAAATCTTTATACTGGTGTCCTAATAAGATACATATGTAATAAACGCTACGTAATTAAGAAGATCTAACTGAGACGATGCATGGCTTACTTCTATCGGGCTCACGATTTTCATGTGCTGTGTAATAACGCTAAGACATTTCGGTCGTATCTTTAGTACATTTTATGGGATTATGATCTTTACCTTTTGTTTATTTACCGGTGGCATCAAAGAATTGTGCCTAAAAACGATAATATAGAAGGATTGTTCTATTTACGAAAATTGACGAATGCTAATTACCCCCAATATTAATAGGAAAGTCTGGGATGATGTTTCGGTAATATAAAGCATAAACTCAGTGACCGGTCAAACTACTAGATCACTTCAATTGGTAACAAAATAGTTGAGTTAGTCTCTTCAAAAAGCTATCGGGAAAGTAATTTTACTTAAAGCAGAATGAAATTCAAATAATCATAGTGTAAAATGGTTACCGATAATACTTGTTGAAACGTGTATTTTCTCCAGATTCATGATTAATTTTAGTGTGGGATCACAGGCGCACTAATACAAGTTTTTAAAAATGTAAGATGGGATCAAGGTATACACTAGGCCATGACGATATATTTAATTAGGACAGAGGTACAGGCTATAAATACAGGGTTTTTGGAACGACGAATATAAACTAAAAGTGATAGAAATCGCTGGGTTTATGATTCTAGAATCGCAACGAGCCTTCCCGTATAATTCCATTTTCCAACCACTAATGTATACACAGGAAAAAACAGACCAACAATTGTGTCATTAGTAACCGTATTAATCGTACTGTACGTATTTTGTGGCCAGCTATTCACTTTCGTATATCATACACTTCAGTGTTTATGTCAGTATTTTTGTGTCCATATTTTTTAGTCATTGTATACTAACTATATAAGCTGAGTCACTTTCAATTCACTGATCTTAACCAAAAAGGCCAATTTACGACTACTTGTACTCTGCGTAATGTTCTTTTATTCGTTTTCATCGTTTATTTGTAAAATAATGTGCATGGAATATGTAAACCTTTAGTACTACTCATATTTGAACTGTTTGTTCTTGTCGTTATTAAAAATATCAGCTTACGAAACGTATGCATGGAGCTGGTAAGAATCTTTGTTTCATCATTGTCGTCGTTACCAGTCGGAGTCAAAATTGGCTATAAAAACTTGGCAGCATAATCATAACCATGGCGGTGGTAAATACCACTATAACTACGAGTTTCCCGATATATTTGTTTGCAGTAAGTTGTTATAACAACTGATTTCGGTAGCTTGAACTTACGTAATAATGTAGATGGGCCGTCTATTTCAAGGAGCTCTAGTCAATAGTTATGGCCTACATTAAGACGCATCGCTACCCCTAGTTTTAGAGGTATATTCATCATAGGTGTCTATGGAGAGAATACTAAGCCGACTGACTTTGATGAAATATCTGAAGACATCATTTCTGAATTAAAAGAAATGAGCGATCTAGGACTGAATATTGTTAGGTACAATAAATACGTAGCTATTAAACTAGTCGCTGTAGTCTATGACGCACCTGCTCATTAAGATGTTAGATACACAGTTAATCACAATATAAAATTAGGCTGCGATAGGTGTATTGCAGTAAGCCATCGCCTTGACGGGAGAATGAGGTTTCCAAGTGATGAATATGCATTGCGAGCTGATGACAGTTTTCGCCAGCAGAGCCAATCAATTCGCTATCAAGACCATTCTAATTTCGGGACACTTGCCATTAACATGATTTCTGCATTCCATTTAGATCCAATGAGCATTGTATACTTAGATGTGGCAAAGAAGCTAATCAGTCTATCGATAGATTTCTATCACAAAAGAATTATAAACACGAACAAATCTGTAGTTACTGATATAAATAAGTTAATCTCAAGTTGTGTTGAAAATCTTCTATCAGAATTTCAGCGTAAATGTCGGGCATCAGACTTCTTCCCAGTATGAAAAGCGACAAAATGTTCAGTTTTCCTTCTTTATTCAGCCTTCGTTACTCCTAAACATTATTTACCATTACCGTTATACCTGAATTTCAAGCGTTTGGCACTAGCTATGTATTTGTTAGCGCATCCCACATTACATAGCAGAGCAACGGATTCTGTTAGGAATGATTTATTAAATCTTCATAAAGAATATGAATGATGGAATGAAACTGAATATTTAGTTTATAACGTGCATATGTTGAAACACCTTTGTGATGACGTTCGTTCACATGGAGCTTCAGATTCTTTTCATTCTTCCCATTTGAGTCCTGTATTAGACAGATTGAAAGATTGGTGCATAGCAGTTATACTGTAGCAAAACGAGCAGTTCAGTGTTAGGGGGAAATATCTTTATGTGGTAGGCTGTAAGCCAGCATTTCTGCCCACATCCGTCAAGTCTGGTCACAAAAACCAAATAACGCTAAAGAACACTAGACTAAATCCGTTTGCTCCCGATAACGTTATTATATTACACGGTAAACATGAGCTAGTCATTGGTAAAGGGGAAAACGGAATAATTAAATTTAGACAATTTATTGTTACATGGGATTACTTCACTGAACATTTCCTTCTAGTGACATAGGTATATCTATGTGCTTGATATTTATTCATGAGTACATATGAATTTAAATTAACGGTGTAAACTGTAAATGTATTTCCGTTAACCGTCTTAATAATGTAAATTTGTTCATTGCTAGATACATTCACGTGAACCACATTTTTGTCTTGCTAATAATATTACTTCAAGTCCATTCCTAACCATTTTGTAGTTCGTACTTAACGATGTACCAAGCAAGAGGGAGGTCCTAGTTGCAGCTAGAAAGTGGAGTGTAGGTAAAGAACTTTGTTGGTATGCTACCGACTTGCAGAACAAAGCCCAGTCAGACAATAATTGGTTACCCACTATTGTGGTGACTTATAAATACAGTGTCATTCATTTGCTATAGATAGTTTACAGACTGAAAAAGAGTTGTTTATTAGTTCAATAATTTGGTTGGTTACCATGCTAGTAGTTTTATGGATGAAAATACCTAGCCACTAAACGCAGAGAAGCCGTAAACGTCAGTACAGTAATTTTATTAATATTTTGCAGAGGTGAATCGAAACGGAAAGAAGAGTTTCTGTATAATTTCGTTGACACGAGTGTGGCTGAAATGAGGGCTGGAAGCAACCGTGTTCAATATTCTAAATCCAGGATACTGGGCACTATCATATCACCGGCTGCGAAGTAGGCGGTTTTAATTGAAAATGTTAATAAACTAGTTCAACACAGTAAATGTATCACCCTCAATGTCTGAGTGAAAGCGTATGGGCAGTGCGTTAGGGGCCGAGTAAGTTACGTTTCCAATTTAAGTTAATGCTCAGGATTCAATGAACCACATGCTGTTCTGTAAAATATGCCATCAGCTTTATCAGACTTGAGTGCGAACATTAGGCAGTTGATATTTAAGTGTAATGGATGTGACCATTCACAAAAACATGATACTGAACGAGCAAGTTTGCAGTTCCCTTTTTCATCCGAAGAGGAACTGTGAAAATCGGATGCATGTCTTCAGAAAGAAGATACGAGGGGCAAATCTGCAAGTCCACTAAATTTATTTGGTTGTTACTTCAGTTAGTCGGTCGGCAACAACATAGAACTTCGTACGTACGTACATCAATTCAAGTTGCCATACCGCATTAGCACAGAGATAAAATTTTCAATTCAAATCCCGTAGTGGTAAATGTAGTATGAGTATAAGCAGTAATCTGGAACATTTTGCTAAAGTGCATGAAATCGCGACTCAAGGGTATTTTCACATGATACAAACTACAAAAGTGTCACAGAAGAAAACCAGAACATGAATGTATTAATCTAAAGTTATAAATTTTTACTGTTGTTCTGTAGGTGCAGTGGTCAATATTAACGAGCATAACTGTAAGTCATATTCCACGTCGACAGTCATCTAACAAACTAAGATAGTTGAAAATCGTTGCAAGTTTTTGTGTTTATTAAATTTCAGAATAAAATACTGCAGTTTAAGAAAGGCGTTCTCATTGAAATGCAATTTTATGTTTACATTGATTTTTATTAAAGCATTTTCTTGCCATGTATTGACTCACATGTGAAGCGCTTGAACTAATAAAGCCTGTGTTGTGGAAGGCAGTTCAATTAGATATGTGTTTATCAAGTGGGACATACTTTCAATTAATCCATTACCTGTAACTTCTTTTGTAGATATTCGCAAATGACATTGTAACTTTGCACTTACAACGTAAATATGTAAAGATCGTAGATCGAGCATCTGTCTGTTATTAATTTGCTCGTAAACTATGATGTTAGTTTTAGCTAATAAATGTATTTAGCCATGTATCATTTTTTAGTCTGGTCAATTATAGTCTTCGTGTGTTTTGTGATGAAAGTGAAGGCAATATCTGAGAGGTATTTGTGGTTAGGTGAATGACGGACAACCAAGAGTGTAATTCAACAAAAGGCAGACAATTCAGCATGAATTTAGGCTAAAAGTAGACAACTCAGCGACATTTCAAACGGAGAGACAAAAAGGAGGAAATTCTCATTATTTCTGTATGGCAGGCGAAAAAAGAGAGTTTTCAACACGTTCCTTATTTTGTGATGGAACGCCCCTTTAATTTGCCCTCTGTTTGCTTTTTATTGTTTTTATTGGTTGATTGAGAAAGATGCATCTTAATTCATTTCAACTAAACTTCCAATCCATTAGTAGCAATGTCTTCAACAATTCAGTGACGATTGATAAAATGTCAAGTGTGTAATTAAGCAATCACGAACTATAGTTCCTGAAATTATTATTTCAAAAAATTCTGTGTAACAATGTTACAATATATTGGGAGATTGTCACACCTCAAATATTTTGAGGTATTCTATAGAGTCCAATGACAATTGGCGGTTTTACCCTAACTTTTGAGGATGCTCCCAAGCATGTGGAAATTTCAGGGGGTTTTGTGCAATTTTGAAAAAAACTTTTCTTCAAAATTGCTCCAAAATGGACAAAATTTCCCCGAAATAGGGATCTGTTTTCAGTAAAAAAAACTCTTGCTTGTGTTTGTATGCACATAGACACCATGTAAAAACCATATAAATCTCACCTGATCGTGCTTACGACTTGAAATATTTGATATTACTTTATCTTTCAGACATTTGTATCACACGAAATTACATTCTGTTGTCATAGTTTATGCCATTTGGTTAGTTCAAACAAAGCATGGTACTCAGTCTTCTGTCTTCAGTAATAAGGATAGAAGGTCTATCGACCTATATTAATCTTTGCAGTTTGTAATACTGTGGAGGTCCAATCTCGTTTCGAATATATCGACAGAAAATGCTGATATTACGTGTTCCGGTAGAGAATTCCAGTAATTCACTACTCGATGCGAGAAACCACACTCCAGATTTGATCTCAGTCTTTGAACTTTCTTCGAATACCCTCTTAAATGATCAGTCCTGGACGGAAGTAAAAGATAAGACATGTTAATATCAAGGTCATCGTTCAGTATACGATACCGTATTCTACGGTATGATAACGGAAATAAGGTGTTTGAGTCTGTCTTCATAAGATAGGCCAGATAGACCTTGTACCATCTTGGTCCCTCGTCATTGGACTCCTTCCAGCATATCTGCTTCGTATTTGAAAGAAGGACTCGCTGCTTAAGTCCAATATTCTAAATGTGATGGCACGAAAATCGGGTATAATAATCTAAAAATTTCATCATCTAAATATTGAAAAGACCTACGCATAGACCATAATACCCTATAGCCTTTCACAGCAACAGCAGCCTTACATTGACTGGTGGTTTTGAGATCACTGCTTAATATGACTCTTAAATCTTTATAGTTTCTTACCTTGGGTAGCACGAATCCACATATTGTGTAGTGATGCGATTCATCATAATTATTTATTTGCATCACTGCACTCTTGTTAGGATTTATTTCTAGCAACCACCTGTCCATCCATGCCACCAATGAGCTGAGATCATTCTGTAATACTATCTATCCCACATACTGTGTTTGGGTCTGCATATTTTCATGTCATCAGAGAAGAGTAGAACGGATGATTTTGCTATAGTTGGTAATTCATTTACATAAAGTAAAAAGAGGAGTGGACCGAGGTTTGTACCTTGGGGAACCCCACTTTAACAGGTACTCACGAAGAAAGGGCCCCATTTACCCTTTCCGTTTGTCTCCTGTCATGGAGAAAGTTACTTATCCAATCTACGACTGTATAATGGATTCCAAAACGTTCCAGTTTGAATTTAAGACCAGAGTGGGAGACCTTATCGAAGGCCTTACCTAAATCTATGAAGATCAAATCCACAGGAGTATTCCGATTTTTTGCAGCAGCCCAATCTTCTCTTGCAATGAGATTTGTCAAGCATGATAGGCCTCTCCGAAAACAATGTTGTTCCCTGGAGAAAACATTATACCCTTCAACATAGTTTATAGCAGATATTCGAATTATTTTTTCAACAGTTTTACAACTGCACTAGTTAAGCTAACGGGACTATAGTTACTAACTAAATCCCTACTCCTAGCCTTATGCACAAGACTTATTATTCCGCTTTTCCAATCTCTGGGCAGTCTGGACTGTCTCAGAGACATGTCAAACAGTATCGCTAACGGTTCAGCAAGTACATCTGATATGGCTTTCATAATCCCAGAATAAATACCATCAGGACCACTGGACTTATCAGGTTTGAGATGCTTAAGTAGCCTCAAGACAGTACCTTTCTCATTGACTACAGAGTCCATCAATGAGACGCCACAATCACAATGAATCGTTGGTCATTCTTCATTGCTGATAGAGAACACTTTACTGAAATATTCCGATAAGGCTCCAGTGTTTTCGGTATCATTTCTTGACAAGATTAACGTATTTACAATATCAAAAGCGATGGAATTCCATCACCTCTCTGAGTTCGCCTTTTTACATATGAGAATAACTGTTTCGGACCATATCTACAATACCTAACCAAGTGTTTTTCATATGATCGTCTAGCCTTATTTATTAACGCTTTACAGGCATTCCTAATCTTACCATAACTTGGTCTGTATTGTTATAAGCCAGTAGAGATGAGCATATTCTAGCGCTTTTTCCTCCTTGTAGGAAGTTTCTTAACTCGTTTAGTTACCCATGGTGAACTGTTATTCGGTCTAAGCGGTACCAGGTATGGTATGTACGAGGACGTAACTAAACTAAACTTACCTTTAAATACATACCTGTAGTGGCAATGGGCCTTAATACGAGACATTATAGGAAATAGACATTCAACATTTAACACGGAGAAAAACCCAACGATGAAGAGGGCAGGAAGAATGAATCGAATTAATCGTAATTGGTCGTACGGCTTTGCTCGGCCTTGCAGGCGTGGTCCCTGCTGAATGTCACCTTATATCTTTTATTCACATTAAATATATTGTTCTGTCTCTAGCCTAAGTTTGCTCTCTATCATTTGTTGGTAATTGTTACGATTTGGTGAGTTGGTGTAGACGATGATGTGACTTCCACGTAAGATCTCATAGATTAGGCAGTTATATCATGACAAATCTACGATATTAGGATTAGGTATATTATTAGAGCAGTACTAATACCATAGTAAACCATAATTCTTCAGACCATGCTTCTTCAACTGATGAGCTAGTATTTGCAGACTAATCTATCTTAGCAGCTCACTCCTGAATGGCTGATATGTTACCTATCCATACATTTAGGCGGGGTGTAACCTAATCGTATAACATGTCCCTGGTTCTAACCGTGAATGACAAAACAGCGTGATCGCTGTTCACTAACGGTGGAAGTATATTCAGGTCGATAATATCCTCAGAATCCTAAGTGATTACCAAATCCAACAGAGAAGAGCCTTGGTTTGCACCAAAACGTGTGGGTTTGGATACATGCTGTATTAATGCATGCTCCATTATTGTTATCAGGAACATACTTTCAAACGAGTTTATAGATCCTTCTGTGGTAATCTAAGTCTAACTAATATCATGTGCATTAAAGTCTCCTATTACCAAGCATCCGTTATCTGCACTTCATAGCTGAATGTGCCCTAAATTAAACTCATCAGCTAGGAAAATTGAGCTACGATAGATGACACCGAGCATGAGTGTACCACATCCGATAGCCAATTCACAGCTAATGACTTCACAAGTGCCGCTATCATGGGATGCGCTGGCAGAGGAGCGGATATTTACATTAATGGCTATGTATTAAAGGACGTCACCTCCCTTTCTACATCTATGTCTATCACTCCTGAGGTAATGGTATCCGAATAATTCTGGAGTAATGTCCAAGTCACGGACCAACCAAGTTTCTGTCACTGCTACAATCAGTGGCTTTGATCTGTCCACTAATGCTTTTAGTTCATAGAACTTATCTCTTAGATCACGAGCATTGGAAGCATCCGCTTCCAAGACCTGACTATCCGAAAACCCACTAGTCGAAGATTTTCCTCACCGTTTTTATGACGGGTTTCTAGTTCAGCTAGTGCTCTCTTCCTCTTTATTCTATCTTCGAGAGACATATCGGGTCTAACTCGGATGTCGGAATTGTCGTGACAACGAGAGCTAGTTAACAGGAGATCCAGTTGCTTCTCCGATCCTCGTATTACATTGTGGAGTCTGCATGGTCGGACTTCAACATTGTCTTCAGTCCTCTTGCCTATCCTAACCAGTTTTTTGACCTGAACTCCTTTTTAGAGTTATCTGGTAGGATACTACGAATACATATTCTCCCAGCTTCTCTAAATCATGAGCGTGTCTAATTTTGGGTCGTTTGACTACAGCTATTTACTCACAATGATATTCGATTAAATTCTTCTATTCAGTCACGCCAGGGTGGGTTTCCCTCTTACTACCAGATTTTGGTAGTACATTTAGTGACTCACAATGGGAGTCCACCAGTGACTCGATAACCAACTGCGTACTGATTACAGCTTTTTTCTTTTCGTTTCGTTTTCTCCGTACTGCTGTCCATTTTTCATCCCTCAGGACACTGGGACTATTTGGAGCGGTGATGGTTTTATCCAGATCTTCAGTTTGCACTAGACGTGGATGGTTACCAATGTCAGTGTCAGGTGGCACTACCCCCCTCGTTAATGTTAACAGATATTTCATTTTTCCGTCAGTCAAAGTTGGTTGTTTAAGGCATCTCGTAACAACAGGCACTACACATCAACGCATGCGCCATCGTTCTTCTTACAGGCCAAAGCCAATAGGCTCATAGCCTCCTGTATTAGTAACGTCTTATTTGCACGGCAAAACATGCAAAGCGAATGTGAGTTAGGCTTAGAACATCTTTTGTATGCAGTGGAACTTAAACGGGTGCACATCTTATGGAACCACTTTTTGCATTCATCACACTTCATTCCTTCCTCCACGGGGAACAAACAGTTTGGTTGTCCATATCTGTGAGTACTACCAACTATTTTAGTCAGATTAAGGTGTAAAACACAATATGATCACAGTATGAACACAGTGTCAGTCAACGAGAATAAGGGTACCACAAGACAAACTTTACCAAGATTTCAAACCTTAACTAAAATACTTTGATTTAGACCAAGAATGCTTTTGATACAATAATTACACAAAAGCAAGGATAATCACAAAAAGTACAAGATCACTGCCATTTTTGAAACACCGACGACAAACTAATTTAGAAACGGAAACGATACTCTAATCGAATAGTTTAACTGTAATAAATTCAGTTAAAGTGAAAACAGTAGTCTTGCTACGTAATAAACGATCAAAACAATAGAATTTACTCAGAGAGTAAAAATACTACTGTCCTTTTAATTAGCGCGCGTGTAGCTGTTATAAACAGGCTGTAATTCTATCACAGCGGATTAACATCTAAAGTATCTGCAGAACATTAGGAAAAAGATTTTAATTGTGTGCGTTTAAAAATCTAATTACCATTTGAACGACCACTTTGCACATATTTGACTCACTGTGGAACTGTCGAAGATTTAAGAAGTAATTTTTATTAATTGAGTTATTTAAACTTCAAAACTTTGTAAACAGATCTCTGTTATCCCTATGATTTTACAACTTTGATGTCATTACTAATAAAAGACGTTGTAAACCTGGAGATAAACTTCTATGTTTCTTACCATATGATTGTTACGCTGCAAGTCGTGGAAGTCGAATTTATTTCATGATGGATATTTTACAAGTACCA